CTTTCTTAGTGAAGGTAACCCGCTCTATCATATTCGAAGCGAGGATTTCAAGGTTTGGGCAGTTGCATTCCTCCTTCACAATAGGAATACTGGAAGAGCGAATAGAGGAGGAGTACCTGCTAATGGCCCAAGTCCGTGGAGACGCGGATGAAACTTTCTCTTAGAAGTCATTGACGACACTCGGGTGTTTGGGTATGATTGTGTTTTACAGTGGGAGGTTCAGAATTAACTTCAGTTTTCTCGTCTTTGTTTCTCCTCGGGTCTCCATGGAAGAGAAAATCAGAGTTTCTAAAAGAAGTAGTAGAGGAAGCCATGGTAGGTAAAAGATAGTAAATTTTTTAGAAAAAGTTAGAAAAGATGAAAATTTTCTAAGCAAGAGGGGGTTCATCAGTGCAGAGAAGACGAAAACTTATGGAAATCATGGAAGTGAAAGAGGTAAAGTGATGAGTAGAAGTAAAAATATAGACGACAAAAATCATGATCATGATTACCTCGAAAACCGGCAAAAATATTGTTGAATCGTGGGGCAACACGTGTTCGTGGTATTAAATGCGAGAAGACGTATATCCTTTCAAGCGTCAGAGACTATTTAGGAGATTTTCCGCCAAGAAAGGGATCTTCACCAACTTCCCGGTGACACAAAGACCGAAAAGCAAGGGGACTATCTGTATAGGGTAAAATTGGTTTATAATAAATGGTCGAATGATAGCATGACACCTGGGATCGAAGACAGGCAAAAGGCGAATCAAATAACAACCAGTACCGAAGACAATAACTACAACTGACATCGGATAAACCCCAAAGGGAACATGGTCAACGGGAACAGATCGAATATTTGCCATCGAAGAGCATTCAATGAAGAATATCCTCTAACATTAAATGGGCAGCCATTGCAGAGAATATTTGTATTCATGGCATGCCGTTATATATTCATCAATGAATCCTTTATTATATTTAAGTAGGGGTTGATCCTAGGATCTTTTTTCCCTAGGCATAGCTATAAATAGCAGGCTCAATAGTCATTGTAAGACACAAAATTCTTGGCAGAACATATGTTGTATTCCATTTTCGCTCTCAATTAAACAACTTTATTTACTCTTTTATATTGTTCTCATTTCTATCTTCGAAGACGCTGTTCTCGGAGGCAGACTTGTCATCTTCTTCAATTTTAATCGTTAGGTCTTACTTTTAATCTTATTTATTTATCATTCTTGGATCAAATCAGTTCGCTTGTCTATAAACCACATAACTATACCGTTTTACGGGTAAATAATAAAACAATTACTCCACAAAATATCAATAATTTGTAAATAGTCATGTTTACCGAGTTTTGTTTTCGGGAACTTTAGTCCTTGAATATTGAAAATTGTTAGTTTAATCCTTGTAATATATTAAAATAGTACTCATTTGACCTCAATAGTTAAAAATGTGTTACCTTTTTACCTATATGCTTGTGAATATTCACAAATTTGTTGAATTCTTAATCGTTACACCATTTAGTTAGCCATGTGATATATTAATTTTGTATTATTATTACTCCATACTTCAGGGTAATATAATTCAAAAAGTAATTGAAATATAATATGTTTTCGATAACAGACTATACTAATATATTTTAGTTAATTGATTGTGAAAATGTAGTTAGTACAAAATTATAAGGATCAGAAATAGGAATATATCATTACTGGGGGCACCGAAGTGTTATTTCCTCTCATTTATTAGTTTTTATTAAGGGTGTCAAATGAATTGGTTAGATTGATATAGGACATGTTAAAAAGACTTGAGTTAATAAATGGGCGAGTCCACGATCCGCACAAAAGTTACTAGGGCTCGGATGAGGAGCTCAATGACCATCCCAACTTTAAATGGATTGAATTAAAATGAATTTTCTTAAACCACTATGATTTAGAGCATAATAACTATAATTTACCTAATTATTATTCATAGCTACTGTTTAATTGTTATTAACTTGTATCACTTGTATTCAAATGCGCAACGAATATAGCATGTGTCAACTGTATTCGTTCGCGCAACGAATACAACTTGTATCAATTGTATTCGTTCGCGCAACTGTATTCATTCGTGCAACGAATACAATATGTATTAACTGTAACCAAGGCAAAATACAAGGGTGTATAAAAAGGATACAACTGCTATTAACTGTATACAGGGGTATATACAAAGGATGCAATCTGCATCGACTGTATTTGTTCGTGCAGCGAATACAACTAAGGCGAAATATAGAAATACAGGAAAATAAAATGTTCTTGTTAAGAAATTAAAATTAACACTCAAGACCTTCGCTAGCTAAATAGGCTCTCTAACCAACTGAGCGATAAGAGCTTATTGCTTTCGTGATTCAGTTCAAAACAATTAATCTCTTATTTGATGATTTTGCTATAAAGTTCAAATATAACTACGAATGATAAATTTGCTAAGTACAACTACGAATGCAAAATATAGTATAAATATTTAATATGTCGCGTATTTTTCCTTGAATGACTTCAGGCTCAAATTGCCACCGGTAGTTTCACATATATGCCGTACTATCTATCCTCATGAATCATGCTTGTGTGGTCTCTATTCAATAAATTTTTGGATAAAATTATCACGTGGTGCTACTTGGTAACTAGAAAAGTAAAGGCACCTAATAAAGGAGAAAAAGTTATTTAATTATTGTACTTTGTATTCTAGTACAACCAAAAGTAGAACCGAGTCACCACTTCTCATTTGCACGTTTAATGAATGTATTTAATTGTACTGTATTTGTCCACCAACCGCATCGTCTTGACGTTGTTTTATGTATAAATAAAATTAAAATTAAACCAGTTAATGCAATTTCTTAAATATTTTAATCTAACTAATCTATATACTATTTGGTCAAGCTCTTTTTTTGCTAAGAGTATTTTTCAGAAGGAAAAAATACTTTTGAGTGGAAGCAGAAACTATTTTTGAGAAGCTGAAGAAAGTAGCTTCTTCCCAAAAATATTTTTTGAATAGTATTTTTGCAAATACTTTTTAAAAGCTTGACCAAATTGCTCAAAGATGTTTTTTAAATAGATTATCCAAATAAAAATTGTTCCACACCAAAATCTTTTTTTTTAAAAGCACTTTTGAGAAAAATATTTTAAAAAATAAGCTGATTTTAGAAGCTTGACCAAACAGTCTATAAGTTAGTTTTTTAAATACTAAATCAAATAAACAAAAACTAGCACAAATTTTACCCTACGCTTCTTTTATTGATTTATAATTTTTTTCCGATTTTACTATGCAATCATATAAACTTAAGTTGCAAATAATAATCCATATATAGGTAATGTTTCTCATTATTGCACCCACAAAAATTTTCATCCATGAGATATTGAGAAATACACCAGGCAAGCCTAGGACTAAAAGCTTCACTACGCGTGAGAAGTGTTTAGCGATTTTTGTTTGTCATTTTGTATTTCATTATATTCTTTGTATATATTTTGATTCCTAATTTGGTCATGAGTGGAGGAATAAGAATAGGACAAGTGTGATAGCAAAACAAATTTTTTTCCCTTTTGTTTTGTATGAATACATGTCCGGTGCAGGGATGAAAAACACGCCCAAAAAGTAAATGATATTATATAGTCGCTTTCAAAATAATAGTCGATAATTTTTTATATATATATATATATATATATATATATATATATATATATATATATTATATATATTTTTATTATTATTATTAAATATATATAATTTCGGTTGCGGGCCGTAGTGATCTTTTAACCCCATGGGCTTACGATGATACATCATTATAAAACAAGTGGCGAACCAAAGTTCCTTTTAAAAACTTGATGAGTAGTATCACAGAGAGGATAGTCTGTACACAGACCTTATCTCTATCTTGTGAAGATAGAAAAGTTGTTTACGATAAATCATTGGGGAACAAAGAAAAGGAAATCGAAACAACAAAACAATAGTTTTCGGGATTGTTCTAAAACTGACTGCATATTTACATGTTAACAGAGGCGTATCTAGGTTGAGGGGTATGGGTCCACGTGAACCCATACTCGTCTCCCTAAATCATGTATAATAATATTATATTATTCAAAATTACTTAAATATATGTATATGCGTGCACTCATGCTCAAAGACTCCTATGATGTAATTATTATTGAGTGCACCTCTACTATTGAAATTGACAGTTCAAATCTCACTCTGAACGGTCTTTTTCTGCGCGGTATGTAGATATATAAGTGAAAATTACTAATTAAAAATAATATAATTTTGAACCTATAATTTCAAAAGTATCGTGAATTCACGGTAAGAGAGTAAAGTTAAATCTGTCAAGTGTAAATTCTCGATCCCCCTCTTAAAAATTGTGCACCCATTCCTCTTGAAATTCTGGATCTGCCTCTGCACATATAGGTTTTGGTAATTATATAGGTGAAATTCAAAAATAGCCAGGTTTACAAGTGGTAATTGAAAAATAGCCATCGTTTCAAAAGTAATCGAAATTTAGCCATTTTTTATGTAAAGATAAATCTGAACGAAAACAATGTTCAAAATCCGAAAAATATTCCAGCATAATATACTGGAGTTCGAATTTTTACATGTGAACTTCCAGCATAATATACTGGAGTTCCAGCATAATATACTGGAAGTTCATACACATGTGCTCTAATGTCCAGTATATTATGCTGGAACTTTCCGTGTGTTGGAGTTCCAATATAATATGCTAGAAATTCATACACTGGTGCACCAATCTCCAGTATATTATGTTGGAATTTTTCGTGCTGCAGAAAAGTGGCTATTTTTTAATAACGTTGCAAACGCTCGCTATTTTTCAATTACCAATCCAAAACTTAACTAGTCCGTACTATTTTCACTAATTATAAGCATCAAATAACTTATAGTTTTTGAAAAATACTCAAAAAGGATTTTTTTTCATGGGCAATAGGAAGTGAAAACCACGTGTTTTTACATTATTATTGTTATTAGATGGCTCATGTGCTATAAATAGATGCATAGGATAACACTCTCCACGCTCAAAAAGAAAACCATTTAACTCAGGAGATAGTAAATATGGCTGTTCACAGAGTTAGCTTCCTTGCTCTCCTCCTCTTATTTGGTAAGGCTTTTCTTTTCAGCTTTCTTTAAGCAAAAATACATAAAATCCCTCAAATTGCGAGTCTTATAAAGGAGCAGCTCAAGCACATATATGACCTAAAACCAAAGTTTAGCGTCAGATGCAAATGTTAATAGTTTCTTAATAATCGATGTCTACTAATAATTCCGTTCACTTAATAATATAACTAATACATTTAATCTTTCTTAACAGGGGCGGAATTACCTTGGTTGAAGCGGTGTCATCCGACACCGCTTCGTCGAAAAATTATACAAATATATGTATGTAATTAGTGTATAAATACAAAATTTCGTTGAAAGAAAGTAAAATGACCCTGGCTATCATAACTTGGACTTCAGCTCGCCTGGTCAGTTGCCTTTTTTTTCTTGAAGATGTTATGTGCTCGAATCTCCTAGCAGACATATTCTTCTTACTATTTTTTAGCCCAATCTTCTTGGTTTTTTGTATTGTTATTTGGTGTTTCAATTGTGTTTTTTAAATATATTATGTTTGCTTAATATGATATCCATTATATAGGCAGTTATTTTTTTATTCATTTTTTTAAATGTCGACACCGCTTACAAAAAGTTCTGCATACGCCCCTGTTTCTTAAGACAAGTAGGGCTGGTGCTTTACTTGTGGTAAGGTTAGAGCCGGCCTTGGTTCTATTACCCCAACTCGCTTAGAGTGGTATTATTTCTTTCTTTCTTGGCTAACCCTAGTTTTAAGATGGTAATTATCACGCACCAACCTTGTTGTGCCACGTGTTATTTTATTAATAATCTTTGTTCTTTAGTTTTTTCTTTTTTATTGATGGTTTTTTTCCTTATTTTATTCTTTTTTGTTTTACTTTTTGGTATCTCCTTCATCTCTTTTGCTGGAGACATCCGTCCCACCATCCCCTTCTCCATCTTCAGCCCCTTCCCCAACTCCACCACCACGAAAACGCCCCCCCCCCCCATCCCCCCAACCCCCGGCATCCAGAATTACAGCATTTCCCTCGAGAATGGTGCTATCAGTGAGCAGGGGCGGAAGAGTGTTTAACCGAATCCCCTTCGCTGAACAATTACACTGTATATAGGGCAAAATATATTTTTTACCTCTATATATTATGTTTTGAATTCCCTTGACACAGCCCAAAAGCATAAGTTAGTGGTCAAGGGAGTTCAAAACCTTTGTGAGGTCATTGGTTCAATTTTCACTAGCTACAACCTTTTTAAATTTTTTTAACTTTCTTTTTTTATGAACCCCTTAAGGGAAATCCTGCCTCCGCCACTATCGGTGAGTGCTCGTGAAATTATGTAGTCAATTGTGGGAAGTGGATAGGTGAGGTTTGTGTAGTTGAATTTGGAGATATATGCAAGGATGGAGAAAATAAATGATTATAAAGAAAAATGAAAAGAAAAGAATTTAAACAGGGGAAAAAAAGTAAACAAAATAAATACTTAAAAAGATAAAAGTTCGAACATATTTTCTCATCTCACTCTCTTTAAGACGAGTGGTCTATCATTTGGGCGACAGTGCACGAGGGTAATAAGACTCCCACATAATTTTAAGGTTTTTATGTATTTCCCTTTCTTTAAGTTTCTGTCTTACTCAATAATTTCTTGAATCCATTATGCAACACTCATAAGGTAATTAATTTGGCTATGTTGTAGGAATGTCTATGCTTGTAAGCAATGTGGAACATGCAGATGCCAAGGCTTGTCCTCGGAATTGTGACGGAAGAATTGCCTATGAAATTTGCCCACGTTCAGAGGAAAAGAAGAATGATCGGATATGCACCAACTGTTGCGCAGGCACGAAGGGTTGTAAGTACTTTAGTGATGATGGAACTTTTATTTGTGAAGGAGAGTCTGATCCTAGAAATCCAAAGGCTTGTCCTCGGAATTGTGATGGAAGAATTGCCTATGGGATTTGCCCACGTTCAGAGGAAAAGAAGAATGATCGGATATGCACCAACTGTTGTGCAGGCACGAAGGGTTGTAAGTACTTTAGTGATGATGGAACTTTTATTTGTGAAGGAGAGTCTGATCCTAGAAATCCAAAGGCTTGTCCTCGGAATTGTGATGGAAGAATTGCCTATGAGATTTGCCCACGTTCAGAGGAAAAGAAGAATGATCGGATATGCACCAACTGTTGCACAGGCACGAAGGGTTGTAAGTACTTTAGTGATGATGGAACTTTTGTTTGTGAAGGAGAGTCTGATCCTAGAAATCCAAAGGCTTGTCCTCGGAATTGTGATGGAAGAATTGCCTATGAGATTTGCCCACGTACAGAAGAAAAGAAGAATGATCGGATATGCACCAACTGTTGCGCAGGCACAAAGGGCTGTAAGTACTTTAGTGATGATGGAACTTTTGTCTGTGAAGGAGAGTCTGATCCTAGAAATCCAAAGGCTTGTCCACGGAATTGTGATGAAAGAATTGCTTATGGGATTTGCCCACGTACAGAAGAAAAGAAGAATAATCAAATATGCACCAACTGTTGCGCAGGAACGAAGGGATGTAACTACTTCAGTGCTAATGGAACTTTTATTTGTGAAGGAGAATCTGAATATGTAAGCAAAGTGGATGAATATGTTCATGAAGTGGAGAATGATCTCCAGAAGTCTAGGGTTGCTGTTTCCTAAGTCCTAACTGATAATATGTAATCTATGTATGAATAAAGGCATGACAATATGCTTTGTCTTGCCTGTAATCTGTAATATGGCAGTGGAGCTTTTCCACTGCGTGTTTAATAAGAAATGGAGCACTAGTTTGTTCTAGTTAGTGATGCTTTTGCTGCATTTCTTTCATATAGAATGTGCACTTGTGTTTTTAGTTGATTATTAACTTCTCTAACAGCTACAAGAAAAAAGCAAAAAGTTAAATCTAATTAGTCTTCTTTAGCTCAATTAATGTGAAAATCTGCTGAAAATAGTATGAAATTGCCACATGCCAAAGATCAAAATTCACATGCATTTGTATCCCTGTCTTTCCTTATAGTGCCATCACCGCCATGGTACTTTTTTTTCTTGTGCATTAGAGGGAGTATGTCCGAATTTGAAATTTGTTCCAGTGGGCATCGTTGGAAATTTGAAATAGATTTAGTATATTTTACGGAGTTTGAATCTTAATTTTCGAACGTTTTGGTGGACTTTTGAGGTGGGTTTAATTTAAAATTTGAAGTAGAAGATGAAATATATATCCCCCTATATATCTCTCGTGCATCATTGTGTATGCCATATATAGCAAATGTGTATCCCATATATAGCAAACGTGTATCCCCCTATATATTCCCTGTATATTCATGTATATTTGTGTATGATATACGTGTAAGATACATGATTCGCATAGTGAACAATGCTTATGTTGTTGATCATAAAGGTCGTGGAAGATGCTATATTTGGCATCATGGTACATCTTTACTTTTGTCCAGGTTTTTTCCCAATATTGTATGTCATTGAATTTTTTCTGCAAATTTTTATAACATGACCTAATGACTAATTGTTGGTAAATGGTATTTTTTTTTAATTTTACTTATTTCTATAGTTTTCCCTCCCAGTTACGTGCATAGGACCCATGGAAATGATGAAAATTATCAGGATTTTTGTAAGGCTCCGTAAAAGTTCACCAAGAATTTAAGTTTCTATGGTGCTAAAGTAAGCTAATGTGTCATAACACAAATTTTTGGATTGTGTAATACATCGTGGAGTTGGTAGAAGAATTTGTAGAAAATGACAATTCTGTGGTCCATTATGCTATAGCGGATCTGTTTCACTGACCACGAAATCACCACGGAATGTATCAGAAGCAACTCAAATTTTAAAATCATTTTGTGGCCATTCTGCTGGTCGCATAACCATTATGCTACCGCGAAATTGCATCGCGGAATTGACCAGACTCAACCCAGAATTTGAAAATTATTTTGTGGCAATTCTGCTGGCCGCATAACCTTTCTGCTACCGCGAAATTGCATCGCGGAATTGACATACCATTTGTGGCCATTCTGCTGGCCACATATTTGTTTTGCTACCACAGAATTGCACCACATAATTGACATCGGGGGGTTATTTTTGAAAATTTTCTTATCCGACCCTATTTTGATATAAGGCTTTAGATGGTCATTTTATAATATATAACTTGATGTTTTAGAGTGAGGGCGTCAATTTAGAGAGAAAGCGAGAAGCTCTATCAAATTATACTCTCGACAAACCTTGGAAATTCAAGAGGGAAACTCACAAGACCTTCTAATTACTAGGTAAGACTTCTTCCCTAGATTTTATGCAAAGTTTAATAATAGGTTTAAGTAGGATGTTGTCATGGTAGGGATTGTGGGATGGTGACCGAAATCCTTAAGCCCTCAATCTCGAATTTGGGAGTATGCGAAGACTAGGAAATGTGATTTTGATGGGTTTGAAGCAAATTGTTGGGCATGCATGTGATTAGTGATGGTTGATAGATGTTGTAGGGATATTGTATATTGGTTGGCTGCTTGAAAATTCATGGTGAGGGTAGAGAAATTTCTATTATGAGACCTTGTAATTAAAACCGCATATTACGTGTTTGATGAAATGTTAAAATGGGCTAAATCTAATAACACATTCCTAACTATGGTTAAATTTGGTTATGTTTCTATAGATTGAGGTTGCTAGGAGTATTGGGACGTTGTAGTAATCTATGGAAAGCATAAGAAAGGTATGTTGGCTAAACTTCTCTCTTAGAATCGAATTCCAAGATGTTCCCATAAGTTTCAAGTATGGTTGGCCCAGGTTCCTAATTCCCATATTCGTGTTCCGAAGTTGTTCATAATAAATTTGATTACCCAAGTAAGCGTTGTGTTGAAATTTGTATATACTCAAAACGTGTTCCAATTGTTCATATCTTATCATGATCTCTTTTGAGAATGCGTTTAAGTATGGTTTATGCATTAAATGTTACGACTCCAATTCGTGTTCAAATTAAAAGTTCATTAAGCTTAATTTGGAAAGAAAACTCAACGTTCTTAAGAATCATATTGCTTATATACATATTTAAAGTCTTGATTCCAAATGCCCCTATTGTTGATAATCCATGATGATGTTTGGAAGTGAAAGAAGTGAGAGTGAGATAAAAATATGGCCATGGTTGTTGTGAATAGTGCATATGATTTGAATCTATGTTTCAATCATAAATCACCATGCTCTCATTTGTAAGTGTTTCCAATGTGTTTTGAGTTCTTATTTACCTATGAAATGAAACTGTGCATTGTCTTTTTAGAGAAGTATTTCAACAAAAAATGGTGTATTACTCATTTATGATTTTAACTTGTGCTTTGATTGCCAGTCATTGTGCTCCGTTCTTTAAAAAGAAATCTATTGTGTTTAAAGTCTTCATTACTAATGAATTTAAAGTTGTGATTTCCGGAATACTCTATATGTTGATGTTTATGATGATGATCCTTGAAAGTAAAGAAATAAAAGTGTAGAATATGAAATACGACCAACGTGCCACGAATGAAGAACTCGATGTATGGACAAGGAAGTAATGATGTGGTGAGTGGTTGAAAGTACCAATGGTGCTATATATAGTATGAAAGGTTATGAGATAAATATGTTTGTATTTCTATTTTCTTTGTGTGCAAAACAAAATATTTTGGGAGTATCATTAGCGAGCCGAGGAAGGGTGGGTGGTAACGGTCCACGCGTGAAACTACACGTGCCGGTGTACGAGTGGATTGAGATTATTCTCCTTAACTGGGATGACGTTGATGTGTCGAGATTATGCCCCTTGATTGGGATGAGATTATTGTTGGCCTTGGATTTGATGTCGACTCACACGGCATATGTGGGGAGACGACCTAGCCGATCGATTGGTGATCGGATGCCATGTCACGCACATGGTGGTTCCCACTCTTGCTCATTTTAGAAGCTTGGCCAAATAAACTATTGGTCGGTAACAGTTATCGACAGATTTCATCGGAATATCTCAAACATAGCAAATCAAGTCACAAAGAAAATTTAAAATAAAACAATATTTCAAGAGTAATAAAATGTATTTTCTCTTATATTACAAAAAGAAAGCGAGCAGACAAAAATGTTAAACAAAGTAATATGCTAATAAAAATTTCTATTAACAATGTAAAAATACTAAACATTGGATAATAGAATAAGGAAAAATATAGAGCAAAAAAGTTATTTAATGACTATATAAGTCCCTTTAATTTAATATCTTTTTTATTATTGGGTATATCAAATTGATAAATAAGATGACAATTAAAATTTATTAAAGCAATACAATTTAATTTGTTCAAACAAGCCCGATCACAATATATTTAATTTCATTAATATTTTTTAACATTTACGACTACTAGTGTAACGACCCGACCGGTCATTTTGAGCAATTGCACTTCGCTCGGTTGTTTGAGGGCATGAGTAGCTCCGTATGATGTATTATGACTTATGTGAATCATCGATTTTGGTTTTCAGGTTATTCGAAATTGATTTGGGAGAATGGTCTCAGCTAGAAGCTTTAAATTTAAAAGGTTTGACCAAGTTTTGACTTATTAGTATTTGACCTCGGATTAGATTTCTGATGGTTCCATTAGCTCCTTTAGATGATTTTGGACTTAGGAGCGCGTCCGGAATGTGTTTTGGAGGTTCGTGGTAGAATTAGGTTTGGATTGGCGAAAGTTAGAATTTTGGCGATTTTGGCCGGCAGTGAAAATTTTGGTATCGGGGTTGGAATGGAATTCCTGAAGGTGGAGTAGGTTCGTGGTGTCATTTGTGACGTGTGTGCAAAACTTGAGGTCATTCGAACGTGATTTGATAGGTTTCGGCATCGTTTGCGGAATTTGAAAGTTTAGAAGTACTTTGGCTTGAATTCGAGGGTAATTTGGTGTTTTGATATTGTTTTGAGTTACTCGAAGGCTCGACTAAGTTTGAATGATGTTATGGGATGTGTTGGTATGTTTGGTTGAGGTCCCGAGGGCCTCGGGATGATTTCGGATGGTTAACGGAGAGTTTGGAATTTGGAAAATTACAGCTGAAGCTGCTGGTTCTGTCTTTACCGCACCTGCGGAGTGGGAATAGCAGGTGCGAGGTTCGCAGAAGCGGATTTGAGGCGCAGGTGCGCAGCTGGATCATAGGTGCGGCTTGGTCCCCGCAGCTGCGATGACCGCAGATGCGGTCAGGAAATCGCGGAAGCGGAAGCAGGCTTTTAATGAAATTCCGCAGAAATGGTCCTGCAGATGCGGAAATGGGACCGCAGGTGCGGTTTTGCTGGGTAGAAAACCCCAGCTCGAGGTTTTGTTCTCCATTTTTCGATTTTGGGTTTGAAAAACTCGAGAGTGAGGCGATTTTTCGAAAGATTTCAAGGAGCAACGTTGGGGTAAGTGATTCTAACCTATAATGGTATAAATTTCATGAATCTATGGCTTTATTCATCATCTAATTGGGAATTTGAACTAGAAATTTGGGAATTTAGGGCTTGAAAATTGGAGAGTTTCATTTGAGGATTTGAGGGACCAAATGAAGTCGGATTTTGATAAAATTTCATAGGTATGGACTCGTGAGTGATTGGGGCTTTCTAGTTTTGTGATTTTTTTCGGATTTCAAGAAGTGGGCCCGGGGGCCGGGTTTGAGCCGATTTCGGATTCTTGGTCTAATTTGATAGTTTTTCTTGTGGAATTCATTCCTTTAGCATATATTGATGGTATTGTACTGGCTGTGAATAGATTCGGAGCATTTGGAGGCCGAGTCGAGGGGCAAGAGCATCGCGGTGTAGAGATTTGATCGGCTTGAGGTAAGTAACGAT